GGCCGCCCCTTCCTTCCCGGGAAGCCGCGGGGCCCTTGCGGGCGCGCAGGTGCCTGCCGACGCCCCCGCGGGCTCCGGGGACTGGAGGTGGGGTCCCCCGGGGCTGGAGCGGAGGAGCGGCCCGGTCTCCCACCCAGCTGTGCCGGGGAGGAAGAATGAATGGTGGCTTGTTTCTTCGGGGAGGGAGAAGAGACCGGGATGCCCGCCTAGAAAGAACCCGGGAGAGAGGGTGGGGCAGAGGTGGGATTCTTGATTCCTGAAAAAGTGCTGTGGCGCCTTCCACCCGGCCGCATTTGCGTTTGTTTTTGTTGTTATTTTGTTTCGTTTTGTTTGGGAAAGAAAAGAAAAAAAGGTAGTTTTGAGTTTAGGAATTGGGATGAGTAGGCAAGGGTTTTTGGGGGATTGTGGGATTGAATGAAAGGCCGGAGAGAAAATCCACACAGTCATGTTCAGTGTCGGGGAAGCAACAACCTGATTCTCAGTTTTGGGTGCATCTCGCTTTTCTAAAATGACACGAATTATTGAGGCGGGTGGTCACAGAATGTGGAGCAGCTTGTCGCTGCTGTTTCTGCAAGGCACGTTTGTATGTCAGGATAATGCAACTGGAAGTTGAGAGCAGGAAGGAGGTTTCACGTGATCTCCATCAAACCTTTCATTTCCGAGACAGGGAAACTGAGGTGTGGGTGGGAAATGCCATGCCCAAGGTCAGCCAGCCGGGTGGGAACAGAAGCAGGCACAGAGCCTCCCGGGCCTCCGACTCCCAGTTCAGAGTTCTGTCCCTCCAGGAAGGGCTGGAGGAAGGGTTTGGAGGGCATGAGGCCTCTCCTCTCCTGCGAGTGGGCAGGTGGGCCTGGTAGGGGGGACCCGTGAGATCAGGGCCTCCTCCAACCATTGATCCACCTCTTTCGGGGTCATCTCTATAGGGCAGTGAAGGTGAGGTCGAGGGGTCTTTCACCACCTTTGGTGATGTCTGTTCCCAAGGCAGAGATACAACTGACATTTAATCAGTTGTGGTGCTGGGGGTCCAGCCCAGGCCCTGTCTGAGCACGCTAGGGGAGCACTCTTGCTGTTTACTTCCTAGTCCTCATTTATTTATTTTTAAAGGAGAGATAGGCTTGAGATTGACTAGTAGGGCCCTCTTAAATAAAGACACAAAAACTGACTTAGAAGTAAACGTGTGGAGGTGTAAAATAACTAGCAAAGACTTCTACTTAACTGATCATCCTGTTCCTGCTGGTCTCACTTCCTGATTATGGAAGTATGTGTTGAGCAAAAGGGTTGGGTTCCGACTGACACTGCCCCTCCAGGAGGTGGGCTGGGGGTGATGTCTGTCTGTCTGTCTGTCTGTCTTTGGTGTGTATGGAACCCAGGATGTCACACTTACAAGGTTATAGCTCCCCCACTGAGTTACATCCGCACGCCTGCATGGTGTCTCTTGACCTGAACACTGCTTCTCTTCTCCACTGATGCGGGCTGTGCTACTCACTTCCTCTATTTTACTGCAAATGGAAGGCCTCCTGAGTTTGGTATCCTGCAAATAGAAATAAACCCCTTCGTTCTGTTTCACATAGAAGCATGTTAGTTAGGGAGTAGCGTTTGCGCTCTTCTACTTGCTGTCGGCTTACTCTTGATAACTTTTCTCAACCCTGGCATCACATTACTTTCATTTTAAGGATTCTCTGTGCTGGTTAAGCCATTGAGGGAAATGGTTCTTTTTCCCTCTTTTGATGTCAGGCTGTGGTTCAATAACCATTTGTGAAAGGCAGAGAGCAAGTTGACTAGAGGATCCAGCCTATAAAATCTTTCACTTCTAAGTGGCAAAGAAGGGCTTTGGCCAGGGTCATGGTTGACTCCAGGGAGAATCCCGCAAATTTTAGACTGTTACCACCAAACTTCTTTTGGTGCAGTGATGGGGAATCTTTTAGAGCTTTCAGTGACACTGCCAGCTGTGGCATGCGTGCCATAGGTTCACTACTACTATCTTAGTTCTGGTAGGTTTAAATTAGCACTTACTTATGTTCTCCAAACACTGTTCAAACAGGTCCTCAGTTTACATCTGGAAAAAGTAAGGCATCAAGTTATTGATAACTTCCCTAAACTACTCAGTCCAGCAGATGTGCCTTGGGTTTCTGTAAGAGGTAGTAATTACTTAGGGCTTAGTGTATGCCAGACTCACTTTAAGTGCTCTTGAGATAGGTATTGTTTTTTCTGTGCCTCCTCTCCCCGCTTTTTTTTCACAGATGAAGAAACTGGCACTGAAACCAAGGTCAGGGAGCTGACAAATGATAGGGCCTAGATGTGGACTAGGCATTCTGTCTCCAGAGCAGTGCTTTTAGCCAAAAGAGCTTAGCCAGACTTCAGCCAAGGGTAACTCTAGTGGTACTTCCATTTATTTTCCCTAAGTAACCTGTCCCCCTCCCGTTTCTGCTGGAGAGATGCTTTTAGTTTTATAAATGATTCAGCTCTAATTAAAGCTTTCTTTGTCTGTACACCTTTCTGTTGCATTCTCTGGTGTTTTTAAAAGCCTGTGGCAGGCCTCAGTGATCTCAACCCAGGGATGTACAAAAACAGGCTTTGTGGGCTACGGCCACTGCCCTCTGCAAATGTATCATTTATATTCATGTATGAAAGCACATACATAATTTTCTTCACATTCTAAAAGGGTCATCCATGATGGAAAGAAAGGGTAGTAACGAGTCTTGTGTTTTATAATCTCAGTTTGCAAATGAGACAACCAGGGTTCAGTGGAGAGGGAGAATAACTGAATCTGCACTACACAGCTATTTAGAGGCAGATAGGAGACTCACACTTAGGTCTCCTGTCTTTCCCTCTCATGTTCTTTCCCTTACACCCTGGCATGGGAGGGGGATGGTCTTCACCCCAGGGGAGGACCTATCCTCTGGATTTCCAGTTACTTTTTTTGCTACTCCTTCCAAAGGTTTATCCCAACCTCCACTCCCCAAGGTAGAAGTTGTATGTAGCAAGAAAACTGCTTAATTCAGAAGAGCATATCCTAGGTCAGTGGTGGCAAACCTATGGCACGTGTGCCCCTGACGGCTGGCTGTTATCACTGACAACTCTAAAACGTTTGCCATCACTGTCCTAGACCATGTGATCTTCAAGCACTTAGAAACAGTCAACACTAAACTCTCAGTTTAGTTTTGTTTCCTGGGTATAGTGCAAAACTAATTCTGAACCCTTTGAATGCCTAACCTAGGCCTTCTGATACTGATAGTCCAGATCTTGTTTATTTAGTTTAGAAAGGTATATGTTTTCTTACACTCAAGTAATCTGGCTGGTTAACAATGGAACTTACCATGGCCAGACTGGATCCCTTAGGAAGATAAGAAAAGGGAGTCTTCAGTCTTACTCTGGTGCAGGTGGGAAGTTTCTAACAAATTTCTCATCGCTCCTGGGAGGCCCTCCATTAGGAAGTCCTGGGTTTCTGAGGCTGGAAGAACAGAAAAGGGATGAGGGGAATAAAATGGGACATCAAAGGGCAAAAGCAGATTTTGCCTAGGACCAGTCCTGTGTCTGAGGAATGTGACACAGCTTCCTGCCTCGCTTCCAGGAGCATGTTATGTTTGCTTGGCATGATGACATGTTCTAGGAAAGAGATAAGGACACCTGTTCAATACTCATGTATGACACACTGCCCTGGGCACTTTGCTTTACATTATCTCATTTAATCCTCTGAAACAGGAAATATTATATCCATTTTCTTTTTCTTTTTTTTTTTTTTTTGGTTTTTCTCCGGTACCGGGAACCAAACTCACGACCTTGCGCTTGCCAGGCAGGCGCTTTTTGCCGCTGAGCTAAATCCCCAGCCCCTATATCCATTTTCTATGATTCAGACAGATTACGTGACTTGAACCAATGGGGGAGACAGGATTTGAGCCCACAGCTGTTCCCATGCCCATTCCCCAGCCTTCTATTTTAAGATCCCATTATTGTGTTCCCTTTTAGAGCCAATGGGCATTCTCTCCGATAAGGGAAACATTTAAAAGCCATACTTGGTGCATTATTAGATATGGGACTCTGAGGTTTCCAGATCCTCAAACATATTCTATGCAGATAAAGGGTGTAATTTGGGGGCTGAGTTAAAAGTTTTTTCTTGAAAGTCATGGACAACCAGGGCTTTGTCCTGGTTTCTGTATAAGAACCAAGAGGTTGGTACAAAACTTGAAACATTGAAACTTGGAGATCAGAGATGCAAAGTTATTTTCATCATTTTTTTTCTAACCTCCTTTTCCATTTTTCTGTCTCAGATGTGCATTTTCCTACTTCGTGCCTTCTTTTGCTTTCTTGGTTTTGTTCAGCAGCATTTGGCCAAATTCCCTGGGTATCAGAAAAAATACGAAGTGATACAGTTCACGCCTCAGGAGCCCAGAGCTTAGACAGCTGTCATGGGTGTGGGGCCTTGAAAGCCACTTCCTTTGCACTCAGACACAGCAGCAGTGACAGTGGAGCCTCCTCCTTGGCAGCCCAAGAGCACCCCCTCATCGGCGCGGTGTTTTCCACGTGGCCTGCCTCTGTGCGCAGCTGGCCTCGCCTTCACATCTTGCACCGCGTGTCTCCCGCGCGGCACGATTCAGCCCGGCTGTCCGCTAAGTTCAGCCCGAGCCCCTGTGTGATTTACTCGTCCTGTGTGTTGTATGCTCTTTTCCTTTGCGTCCGTCAGCGTGGCTTCTTTCTCCGGTTCACCCACAGTCTCTGCGCCCCCTGCCCCTCAGTTCCTGTGGCCACACTTGCTGCACACTCACAGGAGCTGGGCTTGGAGCCCCGAGCCCATTTTGTCAGCTCAAGGCTGAATCTGTTTCTTAGTAATTCATTCCGGCGTGCTTTAGCTATTGCTGGTTATGAGACCCTCCCCCCATCCCATGTTAGTGGGGTGCGTATTGTAAGGACACCGAGGCAACTCAAAAGAAACTGCTTGAAACTGGAGAGTCAGCTGGCCGAGTTGTTGTTTCCCTTATCTCGCAAGGGCCTTGAGGTCCCTGCCTCCCTTTCCTTGGGATGTACCCACTGGAGCATGCCTGACTCAGACGGCACAGAACTTTCCGCTCAAGTGCTCGTCATCCTCTTCAAATTTTTGCCCTCGTGATTCTGAGCTTCTCGGATCCCTACCTCTCTGGCCACCTTTGCTCTTTTCCTCACCTTCCCTGCCTTTCCCCAGTTTTAGTTCCTCATAGCCTATCTTGGGTCCTCTTCCTTTTCTCCACGCCTTCTCCACAGATCTGTGATTTTCAAACCTGTGTGTGTGTGTGTGTGTGTGTTACTAGGGATTCAACCTAGGGCCTTTGCATGAGTTATATCCCAAGCTCCCTAGCTATCTTCCTGCCTTAGCTTTCCACAGTACTGGATTACAGGTGTGCATCACTGTGTTTGGCAAGTTTTCAATCGTTTTTGTGAGTAAGAATTACTTGGGAAATCTGTTAAAGCTGATTTTTAGGCATCGGTATTCTAATCTGGTAAATCCAGGAAGAAACCTGGGACTCTGTATCACATTCCTGGGACTGTGTCACATTCCTGGGTGATCCAGAGGCCATGACAGACATTGGACAAGCTGGGTTTCTTTGTTTGCATAGCTCTAAGTATGGTTGATAAACCACTAACTCCCTCTTGCTGTTGTCAAGCTGTCTGGAGACCTCCAGGTTTAGACATCTAACCCCGAATTTGCCTGTGGCTTCTTGGACTTGTCTCAGACATCTCAGTTTAACTTGCCCAGCACTGTTGCTCCTCCCCTCCCCAGTTTTAGGAAACGTGAAACTTGACAATTTTGAGGGGTCTGTGAGAAAGGAGAGTTGAGAATCATCTTAGTTACTTTTCTTGTTGCTGAGATAAAATACCCAACACCCAAAGTTAAAGAGAGAAAGGTTTATTTAGCTTACAGTTCGTAGAGGTTTCAGTCCATGGTTGGCTGGCTCCAAGGCGGAGTAGCACATAACAGGGGCAACCGTTCATGGCGGTGGAAGACAGCAAAAGTAACCAGAGAGAAAGGAGGAGGCAAGCCTCTTTCTGCCCCTTTTATCTTATCCAGACTGCTGGGATTAGGGTAGTACAAATCCAGTCAGTGGACTGACCCAGCAGTCACCTACCCTTAATCCCAGCACTCTTAATCCTAGCACTGAACCATGAATCCATCATTAAATCTGTTGTGTAAGACCATGAATCAGTCACAAACTCTAGATGCAGCTACCTCCAAAAGAGCCCCATCTAAAAGTGCATGAGGCTTTGAGGGGACATCTAGACACAAACCATAGCAAGAATATAAAATGGGGTATGGGAAATGGAAAGGGACTCTACAGTTGTGGGTTTAGGATTGAGGTTGTTTTTTCTTTTTGTCTTTTTGAGACAGGGTCTCACTATGCAGTTCAGGCTGGCCTTGAGCTCACTTTGTAGCCCAGGCTGGTCGCGAACTCAAAACGATCCTCCTGCCTCAGCCTCCCGAGTGCTGGGATTACACGTGTGTGCCACAGGATTGAGTTTTAGTTCATTCATTCATCCGAGTTCCCTCTTGCCCCCAGCCATCTCTTGGGCCTTCCCTATGGGAACAGCGCCCATACCATCCACTCATCCAGGCCTGAACTTGGAGCCATGTCTCATCTTCACCCCACATCTGAGCCACCTCATGATCTTGGTTGCTTCTCTGATCCTGTGCCCCCTTATCTCAGGCAGATGTCACATATTTTCATATTAGCTTCTGATAATTCTCTTATTCCTCCTTTTCTCCCTCATCTTCAGTTTCCTGAAGACAGCCAGAGTAACTTTTTTGTGGGGAGGTACTGGGGACTGAACCCAGGATTTTCCCCTGGGTTCTTTTTAATTTTTTTTTTTGAGACAGGCTCTCTCTAAGATACTAAATTGCCCAGACTGGCTTAAACTTGAGATCCTTCTGCATCCACCTCCCAGGCTGCTGGGATACTGGTGTGCACCACTGCACCTAGCTAGAGTAAGCTTGTAAAGTACGTGAGTTGGAAGATGTTGCTCCCACTTATAAAGAGCTAATTTGCCCCTGTCCTTATAAACAGCTAAGCCTGGTGGTGGGGTCAGGGGTGTTGATGGATGGGAGAGGGTCAAGGTCAGATCACACTGCCAAGCTGGGGCATCTGGGGGCCAGTCTCAAAGAAGTGGGATGTGTCAGGGGAGACATACCAGAATTATCACTGCACTGATTTCTGTTCCAGTTTATCACCCTTTTCTGAAAGAACTTGGATGTTGTGTAAGCTCTGTGAGGCGAACACAAAATGAGGGTGGCTACTGGTTAGATTTAGATGTTAAATAGTAAAATCAGACTATGTTCAGTTACTGTGAGGGATGAAAGACATATTCCAACTCAAGACACCCCAGAGGCTCATGGTCAGGGGAATTCCAAGGCCCTGCCCGGGTCTTCTGCCAGTTCCTTGGGGTGCAGCTTGGGGAGGACTCCTCTGCTCTTCCTGTTTACCTGTCCAGACACAGAATCTGCCCCTCCCCTCAGTGATGGGGAAGTCCCCCCACCATGGGTTTTGTTAGCTCAGTGGACTTTTCTGGGTTAATGGAGCAGCCACCTGGGGGCATCTTGGGTTCCTTTCTCCCTCCTTCCTTGCCTTTCCCAGAGAACCAGCATCTTTCCTCCCTATAACTATGGGTGTTCTTCTCTTATGCACACAAACCCCACTGATTAAAAGACAAGGCAGAACGAAGGGCTTTGTATGTAGGGAACCAATATCCCTTGAAGTCACAGAAAAAGTTTCCTATTGCACTATAATTATCTTTTGATATCTTACCAATAGAGTAGTTCTTACCTCAAGTGGCATTTGGAAGACCTGAAGGGGAGGCAGGCCGTCCTTGCTATACCCAGAGATCAGGTCACAGCCAGGTTGAGGGGGGCAGCGTCACCTTAGCTCTGGGTACAGTAGTCTTAGAGTAAAAGATGGAGGCTTCATCTGCTTGTCTTCCAGTCATCAGAGCTTGCGAGACAGAGGTCCTTCTGCCCAACACACAGGCAGTTCTTTTGTGGGGAAGTCAGTGTCATAATTTCCCATGACATACGGACGTACTACTTACTTTCTAGTCAACAGATGTCCCTGGTGGTTGTGAAGCCTTGCAGAACTAGCCTCTGTTTTGAGAATTTGGCCATGCTGAGTCTGTAGAGAGACACAGGTCAAATGCCTTTAGATTATTTTCAGTACTTCTGGCAAATAAAATGAAGAATAATAACTTTGATCAGGGCTGATAGCACATGCCTGTAATCCTAGCACTCTGGGAGGTTGAGGCAGAAAGACCATAGATTCAAGCCCAGCTTGGGAATTTAGTGAGGCTCCCATTTCAAAAACTACAAAAGGCCTGGGGATGATGTAGCTCAGTGCAAAGGCCCTGGATTCAATCCCTAGGACAACAACAAAACAAAACAAATAAAACTGCCATTTCCCCCACTTTCAAAGGACCTTTTCTGTCTTATTTCAGGTTTCCTGAGTTCAGGCCAGGCATGGGCTATCCATGGGTACGTGAGCGGATCTTTCAGGGAACGGCGTGATGGGTAACTCATATAGGCAGTTTGAGTTTCAGAGCATGTACACCGAGAGCGTTCTGGTCTCTAAATATTATTAACCCATTTGTCAAAGAAAATACTTGAGAAAAAAAATTTTTAAAGGAGTGAATGCCCCATGATCATGAGGAAGCACCTCAGCACTTTTTACCACAGGGGGACTTGGAAAAGTCCAAGATGGTGACCATAGCTGGGACAGTGAGTGCCAGGCACACTCCTCCATGTCGCTCCATCATGCTTTACAGCAGATCCATAAAGAAGACAGTGACCGTCTTTTTTATAGAGGAGGAGACTGAGGCAGAGAGATTAAACAGTTTCCTTTGCCTAAGGGCAGAATATGAATGCGCAGCCAGGCGGTGTGACCTTGAACAGCTGCACTGTGTCTCCCATTCACGTGAGACTCTCCTGTACCGTGCAGGGGCACTGCCTGCTCACGGGGGAAATCTGCCTGCCCCCACGACTTGCTAGTTCTCCGCGTTTGGATCAGTGTCCCTTTGGGTGGATCCTTACTTGACCAGCAGATCACATACAATTTCTTATGCTCCCATTCTTACAAGAAACTGAACCCTTTCCCAGCAGCTGATCTTCGAGACAGAGAGGTGAGTGTGCTGGAAAGATGGGGATTTCCCATGTGTCTCCAGTGCTTTTCCTTTTTGTTTTCTCAGTTTAAAAGTGGATCATGTAATCATGTGTTTTTTCCGGCAAACACACCTATACCCTCTCCTGACCTCAGCTGCACGCGCAGAGGACCGTGTGGATGACCCGTGTCAGCCCACCGCGTGCCCAGCTGGACTCATCTTCTCTTTTACCTCCAAACCCAGGCCCTCCTTTTCAGCTTCCTCGTTCTGCCTGTGGACACTGACATTCTTCCAGTCACTGGCCTGTGAGTCATCCCTGACTCCTTTGTCTCCGTCGCTCCTTCTGTCCAAGCTCTTCCTGTTTTTTTTATGTATTTTAATAGTCTTTATTTTTTTAGAACAGTTTTAGGTTCACAGCAAAGCTGAACAGAAAGTACAGAGCTCAAGCGTCCCCACCCTCCCCATGAATAACCTCTCTCAGTACCAGCACCCTCAGCAGAGTGGTACATTTGTTACGATCAGTGAACTCACGCTGACGTTTCCTGATCACCCGAAGTCCAGAGTTTAGGTTAGGGCTCATCGTTGTTACTGTGTGTTCTGTGGGTTTTGACAAACGGGTAACAACATGTATCCACCAGTACAGTATCATACAGAAGGGTTTTGCTGCCTGCCAAAGTCCTTTAAGTGTACTTTCCTATTTCCCTGGCCACCTCGAGTCCATGAGCTCTTCTGGCTGGTGCTTTCCAGCAGCCCCCAGTGAAGGGCCCGGCGTGGCACTGCTCTTGCCGTCAACCCGTCCTCTATCCGTGCCCAGATGACTCGCCGCCGTTGTATCAGGCTTCCATTTAGTCAGCGCCCCGTATCTGGGGCTTCCATGTCCGTGTGATTTGGAAAAAATAATCAGCAGGCTCCAAAAAGAGAAATTGGAGTTCGTCACATGCTGAGTAGTAAGTAGCACACCAAATCCCTGTGACTAAAGCGATGTGTGTGCGTTGTATTAGGTTTTGTAGTACTCTAGAGATGACTGAAAGTGTAAGATAGGGTGTGCATAAGTTATATGCAAATGCCATGCCATTTTACACAAGGCACTTAGCATCCTTGGATTTCGGTATCGCTGGGATGCGCAGTAGGGAGGACTGTCTTGGAAAACCAGTCCTCTCAGAGGCTGATCATACTGTGTCTCCGAATTCTAAGAGATAGGAGCCTAGCATCCTCCTCTCCTCTTCCAAAGATCTCCGTACCCTAAAATGCCCAGTGCAGCCCCTCCAGAGTTCCTTCTTGGCGATACTCTGCCAGCCCAGCGCCCTCCAGTGCTGGGAGCTGAGCACTTTCCGCCTCGCAGATTACTGTTTCTTAACTACCTCAAGCAGGCCCTGATTTCTGTGCTTGTCCTCATGGAACCTCCAGACCTAGTTAAGTTCTGCTTTCTCTTTGAAGCCTGCCCTTCCATTCTTCTGCTTCCAGGAGCCCTGTAGGCAGTGCTGTTTCTTTGCCCACAGTCAACTTCCATTACAGGTGACCTGGTTCTTATCTGTGTCATGGCATAGCTAAGCCTTAGAACTCAAAAGAATGTTATGTAGCCACACGCGCGCGCACACACACACACACACACACACACACAATTTATTTATTTATTTATTTATTTAAAACCATCCCTAACCAGGAGCAATCTATCACTCAGTATTGTCATTGACCTCCAGTTAGCCTAGGGACCCTGTTAGTATGGCCAGTGACCCTAAACAGGTCTGTCGAGTGTTACTTTCTTTCTGAAGATGACTGTAATTCTCAGATGTCTGGCTGTTGACTTTCTCCACATGTATGAATAGGCAGAACTGTTTCCACCCGTATCCCTAAAGCATTTGAGCACATTAAAAACTCAGTGTTTTGGTTGCTGTCTTGCCTTAGTGAGGGCTCCTCGGAGTGTTCATATGGGCTCAAATCATGACCTCTTTACTTATCAGCTGTAAGACTTAGGTACTGTTTTCTTAGCTATATGTAAATTTGAGGTAATAATGGTACCTGGCCCTCATTAAAATTACGTGTAGTAATTCATGTTGCAAGCCTTGCATGCTGACTGGCTTGTGGTAAGCCATCATTTATTTTTGTCTGATTGCTGTTTTTGATTGTTTATTTGTGTGGTGCTAAAGATCGAACCCAGGGCCATGCTAGGTATGTACTTTGCCACTGGTTATAACCCCAACCTACTACGATTTTTGATTTTTAATGGCAAAATTGTAACATTATTCCCCAACTTACTCTACACAGTCCAGTGGAGTTAGGTCTAGGGGAAAGATACAGGCTGGGCATGGTGGCCCATGCCTGTAATCCCAGCACTTGGGAGGCTGAGGCAGGAGGATCGTTGTGAGTTGGAGGGCAGCCTAGGCTACAAAGTGAGCTCAAGGCCAGCCTGAACTGCATAGCGAGACCCTGTCTGAAAAAGACAAAAAAAAAAAAAAAAAAAAAAAAAGGAGGAACAATAGAAACCAGTAGAGGAAAGCCAGGGCTTTTTAAGGTGTTCCACATAGGGGTGTTGCTGGCAAAGATCATTCTTACACAAGAGGAAGGATTAGCCAGGCGGGGCCGGCAGGAGGGACCTGCTGCCCAGTGTCCATGCCCTCCTCCATCCCAGGGGACTGGGCTGCTTATCAACTTGATGATGATGCGGAAATGGAGAAAATAACTGGCGCTCACTCAATCAAATTTAATTTACCCAATGCCTATTGGGCACTGACTGGATGCCAGACACTGCACTTAGTGCTAGAATGATAAAGCACGGCTCCTTAGACAAAGTCTGTGCTTCAGGGGACTTCTGAGACGGCAGACAATAAACAGTAGGTTAATAGGTAATGGGATACCAACTGTGGTGAGGTCTGAGGCAAAAATGAAAAGGTGGAGCATTCCTGGGGGAGGTGGTGTCTGTGGGGAGTGGGGGCCCCCAAGAGGTGATGTGGTGGAGGCCTGAAGGGTGGGAGGGAGCTGCCTTGGACCTGGGTGCTGGCGAGGGGAGGGAGAAACGCCAAGGGAGCAGGACGCACAGGTGGCCTGGGTCGCAGAGTTAGGGACTGGACTGCCAGCACGAATGCCGTCAGGAGTGTGCCGAAGAGTCATAACCAGGGGAAGGCTGGAAAATGGAAAGGTGCAGACCTCGTCCTCTGGAATGGAGGCTTTAACATTTTCCCCAGGGGGCAGGGATGCACTCCTGGAGTGGAGCTGTTGCAGTGTCGGGTTGGGGTACACGTGACTTGAAAAGAGCTCCCCACCTTCTCCACATCTCCAAGCGCTGCTCTTCACAGTCCACTCAGAACCCTTGGGAGTCTGGGAATACTTCCATTCCCGGCTTTTCAGTGAAATCTTGCAGGTTATATTGGTGCCCCGCAAGAACATGGAGTTCTGTCAGCTGATGAGAACGTTGGCTTGGACATTTGAGGTTGAGTCATTGTTTAATTGGGTCACTGTATGGTCCAGTTAAATAAACGCTGTTTTTGAATAGAAAAGTTATTATTTATGTTCTTTTGAAGTTATTTGGTGATGACTCCAGAGATGTCTTTAAAGCTCTTAGTGCTGCCTATAATCCCAGCACTCTTGAGAAGATGAGGCAGAAGGATCATGAGTTTGAGCCCAGGTTGGGCAATTTAGCAAGACCTTGCCTCAAAATAAAGAATAAAAAAATGCTCGGCTTCTGCCATTCTGGAGCCTTGTGTTTGGGTATGCATTGTAGTATGTATCTTTGTGCAGTAAATTAACCTCTCTGGTAAAACAGGATAAATAAATATTGTAGTGCCTGCCTCCCCAGCTCTTATGGGATGGTGCTTTTATAGAGTATTAAAAAGTAAAAACGTTAAATTAGTTTCCATACATTGTGGCCTGTAGTACATAATGACCAGATGCAGTTTGTATCCAGGATGGGACTTTTCACTGTTAATGGAATTAATCTCTAGAAGGTGAGTAATTTATAATTTAGGAGCAGGAGTAGGCTTTCTAAGTATCGTGCAAAATGAGGAAAATAATAATAAAATTCATTGTGTACAAAAAAAGTTGGCATAGCAAAACCACTGTCAGCAAGACAAAAGACGGATTACAGACCAGAAAAATACATTTGTAACCCATGATTTAAGGATTCATTTTTCTAATATAGAAAGAACACCTACAGATCAATAAAGAACAAGAAGCCTATAAGAAACTAGTTAAACAATATGAACAAATGACTCATATGAAAGAAATTAGTCACTCCTAAACACATGAAAATGCTTGACCTCACACATAATAGAAGAAAATACTGGTTAAATCTCACTTAAGTAGATCATATTTCACTGAGCTGGGACTGGCACGGTAAAAAAAATTCACATGACCTTACTGGACCCAGAATTTCCATTTATAGAAATGTATCCCACAGACATACTCACACAGGTGTTCCCTAAACACTATTGATAACAGCATGAGAGGGGCTGGGGATGTAGCTCAGCAGCACAAGCGCTGGCCTGGCTAGCTCAAGGTCCTGAGCTCGAGTCCCAGTACCTTGCCCTCCCCCAAATAGCATGAGAATGTGAATGGGCACTGGTGGAATGAATTCTAGTGCTGCTGCACAGTGGAGTACTACGCAGCCATGAAAAGAGAAGGAATGTGCTCTGTGGTTAAGTGGGGAGCAGTCTAAGTTATTAAGTAAAGAGGTGAGGCATTGGAAGGAAATAGGCACTGCTGCCATTTATAGAAACAAAGGGGCCAATAATAAATATACACTTGTATATACATAAAATATTTTTGCAAGTATAAAAATGACTAGGAGATAGGGGAGAGGGAACATTTTTATATTATATTTTTTCATTTTGAAAGAAATATTTACAATACCCCCCTCAAATAGAAAATAAAGCAACAATTGAAGTGGGGATTGAACTAATGACTTGTTACCATTGTGTTTGTCCCCAGACTCTCACACATCCTCGTGTCTCCCGTGTACCATCACTGCCACTACTGGGAAAGTTGAAAGGGAAACCTTCGAACAGTTTTGGGCACTCTGGGACACAGCAGGAATGCACACCACATCAGAGGTTAGTGGAAGAGCCACATATTCAAGCATCCAGTGGAGAAGTGCTTACTTGTTAGGGTACCACTTTCTTCAAGGTTGGCTTTTTTTTTTT